TATAAAAACTCCCTCAAAAGTTTAAATTATAAAAAAATAACCCTAAAATTATACAAATTTTAAAATTTGCAAACAACAAAAAAAAAATTCAAGAGATTACCCTCATGCACCTAAAAATTTAAAATTTATCGAAATTAATCTCAAAGTTACAAAAGTTGTAAAAAAACGCTTTCAAATTTTAAAAATTATAAGAAAAACTCAAAAATTTTAAAATTTATAACCAGTACACATCAAATCTAAAAACTATTGGTAGACCACTAAAATTTGAATTTTTTTAAAATTAATCTACAGTTTTAACAATTAAAAAAAGCAACCTCAAAATTTTAGAGTTGTAAGAAATATCGTGACATTTAAAAATTACCACCGACACATGAAACATAGAAGTTATAACTACCAAACTTAAAAGTATTTTTTTAAATGCTCCAAAAGTTTTAAAAATTATAAATCACACCCTCAAAGTTCAAAACCACAAAAAAGCTAAAGTTTTAAAACTTAGCAAATAAAAGTGTAATTGTTAGGTATTCTTTCACTAAGATATATATATATATATATATAATTTCTAATGTAGGGTTTACTATCCCTTTTCCATCATCTAAAAATAGTCTAAGTTGATACTGGTAAACAAACCAATAAGACTTGATTAAAAACATCCAGTTAAGGAATAAAAGGTTTTAAAAATATTATAGCTAAAAAATTAACGCCACTATTTAAATTAATATATCTGTATATAATTTTACTAATAAGTTGGAGTAGTAAAAAAATATTAGTAACATTAGTTGATAGATGTTTAAATCCATAAAAATGATAAAATACTATAATATAATAGCTTAGAATTAATTAGATTTAATTTAGAAACATTAATATCTTATGTTAATAATTTTATAGGGTAAAAGAATACAATGAATTATGTATGAAGAAACTATCATAATGTTCAGAGATATCCTTCAAAAGAATCAAGCTATTTCTGTTGCAAATGGAAGAATGACAGAAATAAATCTAAAATTCAAAAAATGTCCATGAATCATTTGAATTGCCATTAACAAAAAACATATCTATTAAAGAAGCACTAACTGAGTTACATTGAAGAATAATTTAATAACATTATTCCAATCAAAAAATAATTCTCCATGGAAGACATAAGAAAAATTAGTAAGTATTCATAAATATCATACGTTATTCTTCAAATACTAAAGAAATTAAATATTAATATTATAATCTAAGATAAATTGGCAATGAAAATGCAAGTATTTAGTTTAGATCTTTGTAGAAAATGACAGGGATAGAGAAAATATAATATTATTGATGGATGCACATTGGAAAAATTCATTGTAGAGAAAAAAAAATAGATAGCTCCTAATCTTTAGATGAAGAAGGATTGATCTTAGCTCAATAAAAAGAATAAAATAGAAGGAATAAAAGACAATATTTCTCAATATTTTATAGAATAGTTTAATTATTTTGAGTGAAATTAAGAATCTTTAGAATGGAGCTTCATGAACTTTTTTCAGTATTTTTATATGCTTATGTGGTTACTTTTATTATACAAAAATATACTAGAGTTAGTATTAATTTATAATTTTTTATAAAGTCTATCAATGATTATGAACCAACTTCATATTCTCTTTTGTATTGTTTTAACATACTTTTAATCAATCATTTTGTCTTATTGGTTTTAAATATTTGCCTTCCATGTATAATATTATTTTAATATTTTTTTACTTTTACAACATTGTACTTTCTCAAGTCAAACTTGGTTTCATGTAAGTCAAAATAATATAAAAATTCAAATTATATATATATTTTTGTCAAATCAAATATCAACAAAAGTGAAACTAAGAATAAATTTTAGTTAGAAAATAAGCCAAAAATACTTAATTATGGTATTTCACCAAGTGTGTTGCATGTGTATAAAACCTAGTAAAAGCTAAAATTGGGAAAATAAGTAGAACGCAAATAAGAAAAATGTGGGTCCCACTCCTCACTTCCTGATAGTCAACAATTGTTGGAGAGCGAGTCAAACAAAATTCCACATGAAAGCTTCTTTCTTTCTTCGTCACCAATCAAAAGAAGGGAAGCTTTTTCTTTCTATCCACATTGAAGCCCTTGAATTTTAAAAAAATTGCATCCAAACAAACAATTTATTTTGGCTTTTATTGGAGGAGTTTGAGTGACAATTGGTACTTGGAAGTGACAAGATGCGCTACATTTATTTCTGTACGCAGTGATTGCAAGCGAGAACCAATGGGGACTGAGACAATGAATATGAAATGAAATTTGAGGTATTTGCTAAATCCTTACCAAATCTCATCCTATCATCGTGGCATGATGGGGTCTTTCGTTCATAAGCTTGTACATGACGCAAGCCATCATGCCGTGCATATCCATAAGTTTGTATTTGTTACTTGCATCTGAATAATTAAGTACTGATAATTTAACTTGTAGTGCTTTAGGAAAAAGTAGTAGTTGTTTTTTGAAAAAAAGACATTATTTGTTAGTCTATATGATTATTTTGTTACATTATAGTTTATTTGCAAATCGCTTTGTTTAAGAAGTTAACTTTTAAGAAAATAATTTGCAACTAATCAAACACAAGTCATTTTGCAAAAACAAAAGACTTGTTCAACTAAGCTGTAAAAGGATTGCACTTACATAAGAACAAGCAGATGTCAGTGTAATTATAAAGGTTAATTGCATATAGATCCATTGTACTATTTGCGCAATTGCTAATAGATCCCGTTCTGTAACTCTATTGGTGGAAGTAGACCTTTATATTTTTTGCCCAAGTGTGAATGCAACTCCTAAGTGAATTTTGTTACTCTTAGAAAAGTCAAAACGCCCAATTAAGAGTTCTATTTGCTCAAATAGAAGTATAGGGGGGTATACATGCACAAATGGATCTGCATAGATTTATTCGCACTTGGGTTATAGTACATGAGATATATATACCATTAAACGGTACATGTGATATATATCTACAATTAACTGTGTCTTTTATAAATTACAAGTACAACTACATTAAGATCATGTTTGTCGAGTTACTTAATTTAACTTATAAGTATGTTTTTACTTGCAAGAATTAAAAAACATGTCTGGTAAACCTTTACTTATTTACTTATTTCTTCTTGATAAGCAGGGAAGAAAATAAGCTGGGATTTTCCAACTTATTATTTGGTACTTATATGTAAGTTTACTTATTCATGTTGAAAACTACTTTGCCTTCTAACAAAATATGTAAAAATATGTATAAGATTTAATAAAATAAGTATTAGCTAAACAAGCACTAGGTCTCTGTGCAATAAAAATGTTCTTTTTTTTAATAATGCAATAAAAATGTTCTTTGATCCAAACATAATTTTTATGACCGTATTACCTTCAAAACCATTCTGTATTTGGATCTGTTTGTATAATATTCGCATATTTCAAATCTCACACCAACATACTACTTTCTATATGAAAATTGTCTAAAGTTCAATAATGTTCTTTCTTTTCACGAATTTCACGACTTTAAGGTTGTAACACCAACAATGGATGTTACATTGGACGGAAGAGCCCCATCTTTCCTTCCTACTTGACATAATTATTATTTCTTGCGCGAAGAGAAAATAGTGAAGTCTCTTTTACACATGAAGCCAAAATTAGGTGGAGCAGTGTAAGAATTAGATGAGTAACATTGTCAAAAAGTTAGTTGGTCAGGGAATGTTAGTGTCACATCACCTTAAGAGAACACCTTACGTGACTAAAACATAATATTTCTTTTATATCGTTAAATATTTGTCATGTAAATATTTGACCAATCAAAAAGTGCCAAGAAATTACTTGAATACTCTCCTAAATATATCTTGCGTCTCATAACCTGGTCCTTTTCACGGTGTTGCTGTCTTTGATCTTACCTAAACCCTTCCGATTAGGGCATAAACATTCCAGTAGTTGCTTTCGCATTGCATTCATTTTTTGATAAAGATAGTAACTATCACAACTATTATACATATGGGTGTCATTTGTCTGTAGCAAAACATTCATGGCGGTAGCATTTGTCAAGCAAGAATATAACGTATGATTATTATTATTATTATTATTTTGTTGAGGAAAGCAAGAATATAATTTTATGTTCCTTCTAGTTTAGGGTCCGTTTGGTTGCTGAAAAGAGGAGTTGAAATAGACAGAAAGCCTGTCAAAACTAACAAAAACTGTCAGTTTTGACAGGCTTTCTTGCAAAAACGCCCCAAAAAATGACGTTTTTGCAAGAAAGTCTGTCAAAACTGACAGTTTTTGTCAGTTTTGGCAGGTTTTCCCAAGCCCTATTCAGCAACCAAACGGGCCCTTAAAAAACCTAAATTTACAACTAAGGGCCCGTTTGGTTCATTAGGTGAAAGTTACTGTAGTCAGGAAACCAGGTTGAAAACTGACTCTGATAGCTACAGTAACTTTCGCCCAAAAACACCATATTTTGAGGAGATACGGTCAGAAGCTGCCACATTGGATTTTTAACTGCCACATCAGCATTTTTTTTGCACAACCAAACAATGTAAACAAGTGAAAGTTACTATAACCTGACAGCTACCTGACAGCTGCAGTAACTTTCAAACAAAAACAATCCCAAACATCCCCTAAATAGACCACCGATTCATACGCCACGTGTTATAGTAATAATAAATTAATGTTTATTCTTACAGGTCCTTCTGCCCACCGATTTATGTGAACCCATGAAGCGCACCAATTATTTGAGTATTAGCAGCTCGGCGTGACTACATAATTTAATAGTATCTGTTTTCTATAAACGGCCTATTACCATCAACTAAATGCTCTGAATCTACTTTTTCCCACTGGGGTAAAACGTCGCCTAACTTCCAAGTTGGAAATTTTAGTCAAGGCCAGCTTTGTGTACGATCTTGGAAAACTAAACAGAAATAGCATAATATAATAGTGTCAAAAGTAAAATAATGCAAATAGTTACCCCAAAACCATACACAAAGGTGGGAGGTGTAAAATGATAAGCTCTGGTGTACTACTGGAAAAAGTAGCAGGAGATCCTTTATTGGTAGGAGACACACAAAGAATTCTATACGATATCTGAAAAAGTTTTATTAGAGAGGATGAAGGGGCGCTTTAGATCTCTGTATTATATTCCTATTCATGTCCTTAAAATACAATTTTCTATTTCTTAGTGGGCAGAGAGCATATAGAGAGAGAGCACGGAGAAAACTAGAGCGAGAGAGAGAGAGAGAGATAGTACAGTTAGTGTTGAGCTCCAAGAGAGAAGCTTTTTTTTGTTCTCTTTCTCTTTGCTTTCTTCTTTATTATAGCTAGCTACCGAGGAATCGGAGAATCTGGGGGATGATGCTATGCTTGGATTTCTCTCTCTTCTCCCTTTTCTAACTCCAATGGAGGTAAGACTGAAATCCCTTTACTTTTTTACTTTTTCTTCAAGCTACCAACATCATTCATTCTCTGCCTGGAAACTTGGGCTGATTAGAAATGCTGGGTTTTATCTCGATTTGTTGGAAAAGATTGATCCTTTCCTTGATTTTTGCCTTGTTTTTACTGTTTTGCTATCTGGGTATCTCAGAATGAAGGGCTTTGGGGAAAGTTTGCTTCTTGGGTCCTTTAGAAATGCTGAGTAATCTCACCTGGGTTGGTTGGGAATAGGGTTTTGATTAGATTGGGGATGGTAAAATTGGAGCTTGGGTGACATGGGTCATGTCTAAATCTGCCCCCTTTGGGATTCTAGGGTTCTTGTTTGGTACTGGAGGATGAAATGTGGGTGTTTTACGCAGTTTTAGCTGTTTCTGTTGCTTGAAATCTTGCTATTTTGATTCGGATTGCATGCATGGGTGCAAGCTGGGTCTTTTCCTTGAGGGTTTTTGCATAGAAGTTCGGTAGCTTGTGAATGTAGTTTTGATTCTGATAGATTATTAGCATTGAATGCTGTTTTCAGGTGTGTTGATTTCATAGAGAAGCAAAAGATAGTCTTTTTTCCCCCTTCTTCATCTTCTGTGAATCTCTACAAGCTATGGTGGGATGGAGTTTGGCTCTTGAAGCATTGGAATACTGAACTAAGATGCCATTGCCTTTTGAGCCTTTTCTTTTTCTTCAAACGGGATGTCTCCATGGACTCAACTTCTCACGGGCAGAAGTTAATTTAGGTGATTTCTATGAGTTTTCTTTCAATTATGATGACTACTTTTGTTAACCAGAGGTGATCAAAGAAAATCGGTAAATTCTGTAGTTCAAATTTGTCAAGCAGTTGGTAGGAGTTGGACATGAGTATGTTGTTGCGGACATGCTTGAGCCTAGGGAAGCTGATTTGCCCGTTCTTTTCTTGGTCTTGGTCGTGCTTCCCTTAGTAACTTACATTTTGCTTGGAATATGGAGCGAAACTGCGAAGAAAAAGATGAGGATAAGTACTCTGGCTCAGTTAGCCGCTGAAGAAGCCAGCAGAGTTGACGATGTGCCCCTGCCCGTGATCGTACCGGTGCCCTCTGTAAATGTTATGCCACCCGTGCCCTCTTCAAGAATTGCCTTTCACGAGTGTGCTAAATGCTTTGCTCCTGCAACCACTCGCTGCTCTAAATGCAAATCTGTTAGATACTGGTATGCTTGATTCAGTTTTGCATCATCATTTGATTCTTTATTTCTTTTTTGAGCTTGCTGACAATAGTCATCAACTTATTGCCTACCCATCTCCATTTGTTGATAGACTTGATAATGTGGATTATATTGAAAATAGTTGATAAATATCATTCAATCATTAGATTCCTCTTAAGCACATTACAATTGGTTGGATGAGAACCTGAGAGACTAAGAAGCTGAAGGAGGGCGGGAAAAGATGAGATATAGAAGAAGGTGGCTTTGAAGGTATGGAGTGTACCTGAGCCTTCTTCCTTTACTACCTCAATTACAATAAAGCCCTGATCTCAAGACTATATAAATGCTGGAATCTATAACTGAATTCAGTTATCCAGTTTTCACAGCCCTTTGACAAATGCAAAGAGATTTTGATATCATGTTTAGAAGCCAGGACTAACAACATCCTGCAATTTTATTTTGTTCAATATATACCAAATGTCTCAGCACATCAAATCTCATAACTTATAAAATAAAAGAAAATATATTGAAGTGATTGAAATTGGCTATGGAGTTTTCAAAAGTTAGTTTAGGCAGTAAGATGAGTTTTTCCCCTATGGATGATAGATATTTCATTATCACGACACCAAGAACAATTTTTTTCCATTATTTTGAACGTAGAAAATCCAAAACTAAGGTTTATGGATATTCATGATCCGATTTTTTTCAGTGCTTAAAATTTATAATCCTTTTGGAACCTTAACGTTGGATGTTCTCCAAGTTTTTATGTTTTTTTAATTCAAGGGCAGAGAGGAGCCTTTACTTTTGGATTTCTCAAGTTCAAAATTTTGGCTTAGTGCCTTCTTTAAAACTTTGACCAATCCATAGGCTCTTTATGTGATGTGTGAACTTTTGTCTGCAGAATTTGTTGTCTATGTCATCCACAGGAAATGTTTAGAGCTGGATCTTCAAACATTGAGGTGGTAAAGTGACATTATGTCTGGAATAGTTGTTTCCATCATTGATTGTATACAGACCAAGTTAAGTGCATCAATATTGAGTATTGACGGATAAAAAGATGAAATTTTGGCACCATTTCACGAGGCTTTAGGCCTTATGAAAACTTGGCGTATCTTTTGCAAATTTTAGTATGTCTCATTGATGAACTATTTGATGGGAAGTGGATTGGCTTTTGCAATTATGATGAGCTATAGAATTAAAAACAATTATACATGTGAGCAGTCACGAGTCCGTTTAATCAGATCAAGGGAAATAGACTTTGCTTAGACACATATAGTTTGAATGCACCATGCTAAATATTTTTTAATGGATTATTCCCCAGTATGACCGACCACCTTCCCTTTGAGAGAGTTATCCATGACTTCACTTTAAAGGATTATCAAATCATAGTAATGAATTTCAAATATAACTATAACATTTGTTTGTAAAGTAGTTACATAATTAATTGTTGGGGTTGGCATTTTAGCTCTCTGAACCTCTAGATTAAATTTGCATTGTGGTATAAGTTAGATTATAGCATTTCTTTAAAAGTAGATTATGGCATTTCTTTAGAAGTCTTATCATTATATGTCCACAGCTCTGGAAAGTGCCAAATAATACACTGGAGGCAGGGGCACAAGCAAGAATGTCCGCGACTTGCCAGCTGCCGAAATCTCTCTTCGAGTGCGGATTCTGATCAGTTGAGGCCCTTCATGGAAAATGGAAAGCAAGCTCATGGAAATGTTATCGAGGAACCCCTGCATAGTGATTTTCATTCTGATCGAAGTGATATTTCTTACGACACATTATCAGAAAGAAAATTTTCAGATGCAAACAAGCGGACCCCCAATAAGCTTAAAAATGGAACCTTACGAAGTAATGAGGATGCTGAAAGTGGGGATACCTTGTTAGCAGAGGTTACATCAAAGGATGCTTCTTCAGAGAATAAGGTTTTCACCATTTTTTAGTTGGTTTTGCCGTTTTGGTCATGTTATATTACTTCCAGTCTTTTGTTAAATTCGCTAAATTTTAATTCATTGTCATTTTTCTCTTCTGATCTCAGTTAGGAAATGGGAATTTCACTTCCTCCTTTGAAGTTAATAGATTGCCGGCTAACGTCGACCCAATTTATGTTCATGCCTCCACTACCCTAAGAAATCCTATGCACCAGACACATAAGATAACTGGTGAAATTAGAAATATGCTTAAACCAAGATGCATCACTGAAAATTCAGAAAACGGGGCAACTCCATGTGAGGGTGGCACGAATCTCAGTTCAGAGAATGGATTTTCTTCTTCTGCCGAAGCTTTAGACTCAAATTCCTCAGCTGAAGATACTTCAGTTGTAGGAAGCGTAATGTACAAGAGACCTCCATACACATTGCGAACCATGACTCCATTATCTCAAAAGTCAGCAGAGAAGAATACAAAAGACTGTTGGTCTCAAGGAATAGAAAGGAATGCCTACATGAATGATGAATCTAGTAGGTTATATGGCACATGTTCAGAATAATATGAAGCGTATATATTGGCTTCGACTGTCTAATTATTTAAATGTTTTCCTTTTTGTTTAGGAGTCTCTGCAACTTGTATCTCTACAAGTACACCGTTGCAGAATTGCAATGGGGCCTCAAGCAGTGGACAGAAAATGTCAAGTTCAAGAAAGTCTTCGAAAGTTCATAAAGGGAACCTCACGGGATCAACAAATGATGGTAATAAGCATAAGGTACATGTTTTTGTTAATCTCTTTGTGAAAAAAATTACATGCATCAAGTAGACTTATGTACTGCTCCAACATTAATTGTTTGTCTGTACTTCATATTTGCAATTTTAAATGCCTCAGATGCTATTTCCTTATGAAGACCTTGTGAAGTTTTTCCAATGCGAAATCTGGGGCGTATCTCCTAGAGGGCTTCTCAATTGTGGAAACAGGTGCCACAAAAAGGATATATTAGACAGCTATTAATTTCTCTACGACTTTTCATAAGTTGAAATCTAAATTGATATATTTGTTATTTGCACTGTAACCCAGGAATATCTGTTTTTTTCCCTCATTCTTGTTTTACCTCTCCTGATAAGTTCTCAACTTCCTTTAACATGACTGCATTCTGCTATTAATGTTAACTTAAGCTATCAGTTGTATGTTAGGAATACTTTTTATTTGTATGTTAGGAATACTTTTTATTTCTGCTTAAAATTCCCCATCTTTTATGAATTTGGGATGCTATTCATGTCATTAAGCAAAGTTTCCAATTTTCTATTTGGCTTGTCTTGTTCTTGGTGATGAATTAGTTTCCCTACCAAAACAATGTGATCTTATCTCTTCATCTAGACTTATCTCAGTCTAGGTAAGTTAGACAGTTCCTTAATTTGCAGTTAGTTTGCATAGCTTTTGAGGTTGATTCCACCTGCTAACTGGCCATCACTTGTAGAATTCATAACTATAGTCGTAGGTTTATTCCACCTACTAACTGGCCATAAATTCGAAGTGCCGATGGATTGAATTGATTGAAATCCAAATGTGCAGTTCCCATATTGTATTGCTGTAATCTTTATTTGAACCAAGGACTGTGGTAGTCTGGGAAAACTTGACATAAAGCATTTTGATTAGTTTTGAAAATGTGTTCTAGATTGTGATCCAACTAATGGATGGATAAGCTGAATGTTGTTTTTATTATATTCACAATTGTGTCCCAAAGACATACAAGATTTTGGTCTTATGTGGATAAAGGCATTATTAACTGTATTCATTCTTAATTTCTATAAGCACACAGCAGGTTCGGATTTTATAATCAAAAGCTTAAAGCAAGAAGCTGCTGACTGAAATTTTATCATAAAAGAATGCCTTGACATTAATTCCTTGGATCCATGCCCAATTTCAAATGTAACTAAAAAAAAAAAAAACTGTTTGTCTGTGTCTGCTTGCCTAAGTGTAAAGTGAGATGCATAATATTTGTTGAAAATGCTTTTATGTATTTTCTGTAATTGACTGTTTACTGCTTTTTCTTACACAGTTGCTATGCTAATGCTGTATTGCAATGTCTGACCTGCACAAAGCCTCTCATGGTCTACCTGCTTCGGAGATCACACTCAAAAAACTGTAATTCATTTTCCGTTAATCTTACCTTACCTGTACTTACCAAAATTATCATTGCTTCTCTAGGAATTTTCTATTATTGGAACATATAAAATTTTATGCTTGACATACAATTGTATACACTAGGTAGGATCAGGGATTGGTGTCTTATGTGTGAACTTGAGCAGCATGTCTCAATGTTACGAGAAGGTGGAGGTCCCTTGTCTCCTAGTAGACTTCTTTCAAACATGAGGAACATTGGATGTCGAATGGGCGGAGGAAACCAAGAGGATGCTCATGAATTTCTTAGGTGGAGAGGCTAAACTTCTTTCATGATTCTTGGTTCAATTTACTTTTCAACTTCCTTGCATGGGTTATTTGCATTTAAATATCCAGCAGTTTACCTCATTTTTATCTTTGATGCCTCGAAGTTTTCTTTGGTGCAAAAAATACCCAAAGCCCAACAAAAATTAACTATGATAGTCCAAAGTTTTTTTTGCCCAAAAGATACTCCTAAGTGCAGCAAAATTTTACTTTGATACTCCACAATTAAATTTTTTTTATTAATTTTATGTTAAAAATTCAGGCGCTGCAGTTAATTTTGTTAAAAGTTTGGGGTATGGAAGTTAAATTTTGCTGCACTATGGGGTACATTTTGGGCAAATAAAAAAATTTTGGGGTATCAAAGTTAAAAATGAGGTGAACTTTGGGTATCTTTTGGGGAAAAAATCGGGTTTTAAAGTTAAAATCTGGGTAAAGTTTGGGGTAGTTAAGTGCAAATAAACGCTTGAAAAATTCTTTAAAATATAGTTAGTACCAAAAGATAAATTTTTAAAATTGATTTTCCACGGCGCACCAGGCTTCTTGTGATGTCTATGCAATCAATATGCCTTGAGGGCCTCGGTGGTGAGAAGGAAGTAAGTCCTGGATTGCAAGAGACGACGTTGATACAACAAATTTTTGGTGGTCGTCTTAAATCAAAGGTAATTATACTATTTTGACTAGGTAATGTAATGTTTATTGTTTATTTTTTATGTTTATGACTGTAAATATGATTGTGCTGCTTCAACGAGCTTGTAGAGATACTTATTTTGGATCCCACAATACAGACTATTTAGAGTATGTTTGGCAAGTGGTCAAGCGACCTTGACATGTTTGGAAAATTGCTTATTTTGGCTTAGAAGCCACCGAATAATAATGTTGGGGTGCCCTAGCTTATTTTGTGGTGGCATATACGCCATAAGGTTTGACCATGTAAAAGACCAATATCCCCCGCATCGTTTCAGAAAATTCCAAGCCCCATTTATCTCTCCCCAACCCCATTAATTTTTTAGTCATTTTGACAATAATGATGGCTTATAATCCATCCATTCTTTAAACACTCTAATATTGAAAATAAATTATAATCCACTAAATTTATTAAACACTTTGGCTTATAATCCACTTGACTCATAATCAATTTGTGGATTATAAGCCAAATGGATTATGATCCAAAGTTGCCAAACATGCTCTTAAGCTATTGTGTAGACCTAGATTTTTGGACCCAACTCCATTTCTAGATCCAAAAACTTGCATACTTGCATCATATCATGAATTTTGTTAAATTTTTATGTGTGAACATGTATACTAAAATTTTGCAGGTGATAAGTACATATTTAATAAGATCATCAATTCTATGTATTGGAAATATTTGTGCAGTTTGGAGTTTCATTGTTTAGCTCATGGTGTTGCTGCATATGGGTTGGAGGAAAAATCTCGCAGGAGATTGTTTCTACAAAAGATTTATTGTGGAATTCCAGAATGGTCTAAAGTTTGTATTTTTTTATTTTTTTGAGAAAATCTGACATGTCCCGAGTATATTAAAAGGAAAATGAAGAACCTAGTCCGTTTCCGATCATGCGCCTCTTATGGGTTTTGTCTTTGAGTTTCACATAAATTTGAACTTCATAATAATAATCATGTTTAAATATATTGTTTGGTGCTTAAATGAGTAATTAAAAATTTTCTATTTCTTGTGCCTTTGTAATATTCTTAGTTCCACCTTCTCAAAAGATGGCTTTGGTCCCAGGCCGAAGTTGAGTTACTTAATTGAGCACTTTCCTGAATTCAAATAGGTGAAGTGCTTGAGGTGCCATCTTGAATCAGAAAGATATGAACATATCATGGATCTTACTTTGGAGATACATGGTTGGGTTGAATCGCTGGAGGATGCACTCACACAGTTTACTGCACCCGAGGATTTAGATGGAGAAAACATGTACAGATGTGGAAGGTTTGATGATAACTACGCGCTTGTCTATTTCGAAATTTACAAGTTATTATTTCTGTTTTAATTTGTAGGGTTATGATGCAGGTGTGCTGCGTATGTTAAAGCCAGAAAGCAATTAAGCGTGCATGAGGTGCCAAATATATTAACAATAGTCCTAAAGAGATTCCAGGTAAAAGATTATCGTGGACCTGATTTGTGTTTGACACTTAGGTTTCTGGTTTTTGTAGATTGTAAAACTGCTGAACGTCAGTGAAGCTCATTTTGATTTTCACAGAATTTTTTTGTTCAGAGGTCATGAACCGAGTATTATTTTTTCTAGTAACTATACTTGGAAGTCCTCAATCCAACATCTCATGACATTGTTAATGTGAAAAATGCATTGTCCAGGTTGTTGTTTATCAGAAATTAGAGTGCCTTGATTCAAAGGATGATAGATAGCAACAGATTGTCTAATAAAAATGGTCTATTTGTGTCTATTCATTAAACATTCTGCCTTCTGATGCGGAGACAATTTTTTTTTTCTATTGATGGTTTTAGTTTAGGGTTTTCTGTATGTATACCCCTTAAATCATGCATATTTGTAAAAATGTGCTCCACCTTCCCC